TTCACTGAGCCTGGGTCTAAGACATTCACCTGTTTCCCCTCACAGGCTGGTGACCCTCTCAGGGAGGAACAGCCCATCCCCTCCCAGTCTTGGCTTAGGCTGGGTCTGCCCAGGTTGGCCTGGGACAAGAAGCAATGGCCAGCCTGGGGGTCCAGCTGAGAGTCATGGACTCGGACCCCAGAAGGATGGATGGGCCTGGCCCCCGGCATGTGGATTTGGGCTGGCAGCCCGGGCCAGGTAGGAAGGGAAGTTACTCACAGAGAACATTCAGGGTGAACGGGTCACTACAACCAGTACTCCCTGGGTTCGGAGTTTCACACTCATAGGTTCCTGCGTCATTTCTTGTGACACCGTGTATAGCGAGAGTCCTGTTGTCCAGGGAAAGCTCCAGGTTGGCGCTGGCCAGGAGGCTCTCATTGTTTACTGACCACAGGTACCTTATGTCTGAGTCTGAGGTCCACACATTATTACAACAGAATCCACATTCTCCACGGGGTTGGAGTTGTTGCTTGCGATGCTGGGTTTGGGTAACTCCGCTGTGCAGACAACAGAGAGAACATTGCCCTGGGTGGTTGGTACGTGAAATTTCTCCAAAGGCATCTATTTATTAAAAAAGATTTTATTTATTTATTTATTGAAGAAAGAGAGAGAGAGAGAGCACGCACACACAGAAGCAGGGGGAGGAGCAGAGGGAGAGGGAGAAGGAGACCCCCTGCTTCGTAGGGAGCCACATCTTGGGCTTGGGCTCGATCCCTCGATCCCAGGACCCTGGGATCTGAGTTGAAGGCAGACACTTAACCGATTCAGCGCCCCAGGGGCCCCGTTCCACAAGCATCTTGAATCAGAGTTGTCATCTCTCACCTCTCAGCCAACCTGAAGCCTTCAAAGATTAGGCAGGTGTGTGTCGCTCAGGACGAATGCATGAGGATCTGAGCGCTAGGAGAAAGTAAAGCCCCTGCTCTGTGTGCTTACAACACAGGCTGTCTCCAGTGTCAATTACAGAGCAGGATTTGGTCCTGGAGGACACAGGACAGAGTCAGAGACAGCCCCGGGCCTCTCCTGGCTCGGCACTAACCTGCCAGCCCAGCCTGGGGATGGGGGTCTGAGCAGAAATGACACCCGGAGACAGCAGGAACAGCCCGGAGGTCAGTCCAGTACTCAGGTCCCAGGGGCCTGGACGGCAGCTCTGCCCAGCTGTTTGATAATGAGTGACATGAGGCAGTGACCCCATCCATGGCAGAGCCGAGTCCAGTGACCAAGCAGAGAGTGAGGGAATGAGCAGGAAGCAGGGGTGGTGAGGGAATGAATGATGCATTATCTCTTCAGAGAGGTGTCCTAGGTGCAGGATCCTAGCAGATCTGGCCATCAGGGTCCCTGCCCTCCAGCGGGAGAGACACCCACACCGTTCACTCCTTCCCTCCTAACAAAAGCAACTGAGTTGCCCCCAGTCAGCTCTGCCCAGGAGCCCTAACTCCATCCTGGCACAGACCCCCAGGGTCATTAGAATCAGCAGCCCCAACACAGGGATCTGGCAGGGGCTTTCTGGGCTGAGCACCGGTGGGGATCCCAGAGGCCTCTCAGGACTTGTCCTGCCTGGGGCGTGCAGAGCTCCAGATCCCTGAATCTGGATTCTGGGAAAGGAATTCTAATCTAATGAAGTTGTCTCCACTGTGTGTGTCCTGCACTAAATGCTTGAACCCTCCCTCCCCCCAACAAAACATAATGCAGAGAGGGGGATGGAGGCCCAGCCCCGGCCTGTGAATCCTGTTGTGTGAAGTAGAATTCACCCCACCCAACACCAGAGGTGAGAGAGGAATTACTCACGGAATATGCACCACTGTCCTGTTACTTGTTCAACTTGAAAATTTCTCTTTGTGATTTGTACGGTGTAGTATCCTGTGTCATTCAGGGTGATGTTCTGGAACAGCAGGGATCCGTTGGGGTATATTGTCTCTCTGCCGCTGTGTGCAGACCCTGCCATAGTATTTTGTGTGTCTACTACATATGATACGATTTGAAGGCTGGGCTCTGCAGTTTCCCCTCGGAACCAGCCATAGCCTAGAGAATCCCCAGGCAGATTGTGGACCCTCAGAAGAACATTCTTCCCTTCGGCAACACTGGGCGGCACCGATTCCACAGTGACTTGGGCAGTGGTGGG